GAGAGAGAGAGAGAGAGAGACTTAAGGTGTATAGTGGGCAATTTGTTGTAAGAGATAGAGATAGAGAGAGAGAGAGATAGAGAGAGAAAGAGAGAGAAAGAGAGAGAGAGGGAGAGACAAGGAGAGACACAGAGAGAAAGACAGACAGACAGACAGAATCACAGACAGACAAACAGAGAGACATACAGACAAACAGAGAGACATGCAGACAAAGGGAGAGACAGAGAGACAAGACTTCACAACTTAAGGTGTATAGTGGGCAATTTGTTGTGAGAGAGAGAGAGAGAGAGAGAGAGAGAGAGAGAGAGAGAGAGAGAGAGAGACTTAAGGTGTATAGTGGTCAATTTGTTGTTGTGAGTGAAAGCTTGTGTGTGTTTGTGCATATGTGTACACATATGAATGTACGACTATGTGTACATGTATTTGCACCTGCATGCTTTGAGACCTGCATGCCAAAAAAAAAAAAATGCTGTGTGTTCACAATCTACACAAACTAATCTCCACAAACTAAGGACATCTACATGAGAGTGAGTAATTACCAAATGTTTGGCCTGGCCCAGTTTGGAACAGTAAGGATCCACCATCTTTTCATACATATCCTGTGGAGAGAAAAAACTGACGATAAAGACATAAAGACGCATATTCAGAAGACCTCCACAATATTTTGATCTCACATTTGATAATCTTTCCCATCATCAACATTTTTGACCAGATGTACTTTGTATCGTCAACACAGCTCTATGCTTGAGCAGGTGGAAAAGCAATAAAACTGCCATATGAAAAGCAGGTAATATGATGGCTCTTTTCGTCTATGCAGACGGTCAATTTAGCTTAGCTTAAGATGGTCTCAAGGTTTTCTTCATGCAGCTTCTTTCATGGCTAATTCTTCCTATGTTTAAAGCGCAGATTCTGTCGCAGTGCTTGCATGTCAGTGTCGTAGATCGAAGCTCTGTATTTCCGCTGTTTTCCTTTCGTCGTTGGCGCTTCTCAGCCTGGTTGTTTCTAAAGCTGCTCTCTAGCATTATAGTTTGTTCCTTTATCATTTTCCTCTATGTTTTCCTGTCTTCAGCTATTTCTTCCCAGATGCTAACATCTACTCCAAGCTTAGATAAGCTGTTTTTGCAGGTGTCTTTGTACCTCAAGTTTGGAAAAGCAATAAAACTGCCATATGAAAAGCAGGTATGACAGTAACTTATAAACATAGCTCCTTTCTGTAAAAAAAAAAGCATAATAAGTAATGAGAGAGAGGTAGAGAGGGAGGGAGAGAGGGAGAGACAGAGCAGTAAAGGAACCTGTTTGCTTTACCAATGCTAACCCCCAACTGCAAAAGTCTCCTGTACAAGAGGAATAATAATAATAATAATAATAATTATAACAATAATAATGATTATAATAATAATAATAGACAGCCCTTATACAGCACAAATTCCAGTTCAACTGAAAGCTCTAAGCGCTTTACAGTAAGCACAACCTACCACCCATACTCTGAATCAGAAAAGAAAAAAAGATCCTTTCTAAAAGGAGACAATTCTTACATGTACAAAGAACAATACTCACAGAAGTAAAAAATTTGCTTGCATGATTCTGGAAAGTGGAAACAACATTCTCACACTTTGGGCACACCTTTGTCTGAGAAAGAAACCAAAATGAAAAGTTGCTGTGGAGGTCACAAACCACAAAGCTTTGTCATGTTCTGTGTACATCTCTCAGACAGAAAGCCAAAGAGAGTGAATAGGATTTTTGACTTGTATGAAAATTGTAAAGAAAAAGCATAGTATTGATACTAAACAACATCAGAAAAAAAATGGAAGTATTATGAAGATAAACCTGCAAAGATTCTTGTTTACTCCGTTAACTTTAAGCATTTTGTACACCACCAGCAATATAATAAGTCACTCATTTCTGTTGGAACCACAAAAACATAAAACAACATGTTAACAACAAACTTTATCAGCACTCATATAGTTATACATATAGAGTGGAGTCCACTTAAACCGAAATCTGTGAGAAAATCTGATTTTATTCACTTTAGCAGGCTTTCAAATTAGAGAGAGGTCCCAACTCGAAGAACAAAAACTATGAATTTTATTCTTCCGTTTTTTTATTGTTTTTGAATTCTTCTTCTTCTTCTTCTCAATCGCATCACACTCGAAGTCTGGTATCTGTCATAAATTGGGCCGTCCTGCTCAGTTCATCTGTCGGCCCGTATAACTTCTCTTGTAGCGTCAGTGAGGTATTTTAAAAAATTTAATGCATTCAGTTTAAAGCGGATTCTACTGTGCATGGGGAAAAAAACCCAACAACCAATGCCTGACAATGTTACACACCTGTCCAGCTGGAAGCTTTCTCCTACACGCTCCGACAGCCTCTGCTACAGTTTGTGTCGTCTGAAAAATAAATACAGCACAGTCAACACACCAGAGATAGACAAGTGTGGCGTCAACTGCTCTACGCCTTACGTACCTGGCAGTACGGGGAGAGAGTAAGTAAGTAAGTAAGTATGTAAGTAAGTAAGTAAGTAAGTAAGTAAGTAAGTAAGTAAGTAAGTAAGTAAGTAAACACATCATACACTTGGTAGACAGCTTTGTCCTTCGATGGACAATCATATCCTTATATCCTTGACACCGGAAATAAATTGAGATAAAGATAAAGCCACAAGCACAATACCAACTATCTATTATTGTATGTTTGTGTGTGTGTGTGTGTGTGGGTGTGTGTGTGTGTGTGTGTGTGTGTGTGTGTGTGTGTGTGTGTGTGGAGGGGGGGGGGTGTTTGACCTATGGCATACATTTACACTGGCTATCTGTGTAGAATATTTAAATCAATAGCAGTTGTCAAGGTCAGTTACTGTTCACTAGAATACCCCAGAAGCTCAGGAAATAAAATCAAAAGAAAAAACCCAACAAAACAAATGAAAGAACAAAACCAATCCACAGCGAAAAGTATAAATGACATATTATGCTAGCTAGAGCCAAGATAATATTCCATGTACAGTTTTAATATGTGGGACAACAAGGTGAAATCAGGCGATCGTCAAAATAATCAAAGAATAGAAACTGACATTTTTCCGCAGGTTTGTGAATTTTTATCAAATTTTCGTTTTTTTGGCTCAACACCTTTCAGGCCCATTAAAGAACACATTTCAGTGAGGATTTCAAGGAAAAACGTTGATTAAAGGCACAAAAAATGTAAATGTTCAGTTTTCACGGACTCTCAAGCTAAGGAAATAACTCATCTTTGGAGGCCATTCTCTCAATAATTTTACATCTGAATCTGAAACCAGGTGACCCCCACCTCCTTCATTTGCAAATATCTTGACTTGTTATTCAAGATAAATGGATATTTTTCCCATCCGAAGCAAGACAAATGAACAAGCTTTAAGATGATACCAACAACTCTACATGCCCAAAAATTGACGAGAGCCTGATTCCACTGTGTCGTGACACACATACATTTTTCCTGTGCCCTTCTTCAAACATAGCTAAATACCACCTTCTTCAAATACTTGCATTGAGAGCTAAGTGTGAAAGGCAAATACTGGGCTTACTGAGTTGGAATGAATAAAAAATCTTTAAGACACTTATCTTGTCTTCATGCCTCACTGCTCATGATAAATAAACTCATTCACAAGAAAACCTGGGGCAAAAGATCACAAAAGGTTTTTTACTGTACAGTCCACTCAAACATAAAAAGAATCTTATATTATACTACCTCTCAAAATCCTTTCACTTTTCTTTAGCTAAACACACTAGACTCATGAAACGAATAAACAAACCTTGCCCACTATACATAAAACTGTTAAGAGCCACATGAAACAGGTCTACTCACCAGCTTTGAGTCGAGCAAATGAATCAGTTTCAGAAGAGTCTCCTCATTGGTGACAATTTCTTTGCACTGAAACAATTCAAGGAAAATAAATGAAGACAAAATTTCACCAAAATGTTTATAAAATGGACTTGTGAAACTGTCACGTGGATCTCACACAAGTTCTTTAGCACTTTGCCATCACATCTCGCCGATCGGCAAGAATGCCGAACTTCCCCTCCTGTCACAAAACACCGATCAGCGATGTTTATAACCCAGATTCTTTGGATTTCTCCCCAAAATGCTTGTGATGGCAAGGGATTTCACTATAGGAGGAGCCTTGTGATGGCAAGGGATTTCACTATAGGAGGAGCCTTGTGATGGCGAGGGATTTTACTATAGGAGGAGCCTTGTGATGGCGAGGGATTTTACTATAGGAGGAGCCTTGTGATGGCGAGGGATTTTACTATAGGAGGAGCCTTGTGATGATGGCGAGGGATTTTACTATAGGAGGAGCCTTGTGATGGCGAGGGATTTTACTATAGGAGGAGCCTTGTGATGGCGAGGGATTTTACTATAGGAGGAGCCTTGTGATGGCGAGGGATTTTACTATAGGAGGAGCCTTGTGATGGTGAGGGATTTTACTATAGGAGGAGCCTTGTGATGGCGAGGGATTTTACTATAGGAGGAGCCTTGTGATGGCGAGGGATTTTACTATAGGAGGAGCCTTGTGATGGCAAGGTGTTAACGCTTTGAGCCCTTGCCACTGGTACACCAGTGACGCGTGAAACTGCCTGTATGCCTCGCTATCGGTACATCGGTGAGCGAGACCTCATCCCCAACCAGGCCCGCCAGAGACAAAACCCATACAGAAAACACATGACATTATTGACTATTTTGAAGATCTTTCGGAATCAGATGCTGGTAATGACAAGGACTACCCTGAGTAGGACATGGAATATGATTCTGACGATCATATGAATGTTAGTAATATATCCCTCAGGAGCTCAGGCAGAGGGTCATGGTTGCCTCAGGAGTTCAGGGCTCAAAGGATTAATAAGACTTTAAAATGTTTTAGTAGAGGTTTTACGGCTCTTGCAAATGCAAAAGCTCATAAGAGCGCCAGAGGATTAGAGGAGTTACAAGAGGGTAACAAACATAAAAAAGAAGAAGGGGAGATAAGGACGATAGATGTTTGATAGGAAAGAAGAAGCAAACCACACCAGAGCGCCCGCCAACCACCCACTACTAAGACTTTCAAGTCAATAGGTATGACAATGCCAGAGTAGGATGGTACAATTAGTTTGAAGCATTTACTGACAATGATGAGGCCGGTTCACTCTAGTGAGGAATGCAATTGTGCAACATTGTTAGTTTAGTAACGCTTTTTGGTTCACAGCCTGTGCGTCAACAGCTGCCCTCATACAAATTTTTGCTTTGTTTCACTAAATCAGCCATTTTGAAAGAGGGGTCCTTTATTCCCTGTGAGGACATTGAGCTGAGAGGAAAAACATTCAAGGAACAGTAAGAAAATAATGGACCCTGTTGTGATTCAAACTCTGAACTTCAGCATTATGGGCAAGCTCATAATCATATAAAAACAGAAGACTCTCCACCCAAAAAAAACCCTGAGCGATAACAAATAATTCACACCCACCCTTTCAAATGGACCTTATTGTCCTTCAAACCTAAATTAACAACCAACGAAGAACTCATTACCGGATACATTCTACTTGTATCTTTACTAACAACACAATCTAAATGTGCACCGAAAATACTGACAAGATAAAAGCTCACGACACAGCGATAGCAAAACATAACCTATCATATGGAAATGCAAGTCCGCTGGGTAACACGTCATAGCTGAGAAATCTTATCATAGATAATACAGCTTTTTTAATGCAACTCTCCTTGATAAACCTTGTGACTTTTTTTAATGTGTTGCTCCGTGTCAGATAGCTGGCTAACCACAAACTGACGAGGTCTCTGAAAAGAAGCGCGGAAAAAGACCATCACACCAGAGCTGTGGGTGGCTGGCGGGTGCTCTGGAGTGTTTTGCTTCTTCTTTTCTATCACACATCTATCGTCCTTATCCCCTCTTCTTCTTTTTTATGTTTGTTACTCTCTTGTAACACCTCTAATCTTCTGGCGCTCATAAAACCTTATGCAGTTGCGAGCGCTGTAAAACCTCTACTAAAGAAAAAGCATGGGTGGTTGGCGGGTGCTCTGGTGTGGTTTGCTCCTCCTTTCCTCTAAACAGCTGTCATCCTTATCTCTCCTCCTTCTTTTTTACGTTTGTTGTTACTCTCTTGTAACACCTCTAATCTTCGGCACTTATATGACCTTATTGTGCTGCAAGTGCCGTAAAACTCTTTACTAAAACTAAAAAAAAGAAAAAGCCCCCCAAAAACACCAGAGCACCCACCAACCACCTGTTGAACGCTATAGATAACACAAGTATCTGACCTTGATACATCTCCACATATAAAGGCAATCAAGATGCTGATTACAGCAAATTTGAAGGTGATAACATGACACCTGCTGCGACACTAATCGTTACCCGAGAATTACAAAGTTCTATCTGCTCAGTACCTAGTTTTGAGAAATTTGACAAGAAAACTTTGGAGTTTCACAATATGTCAAGCTGTTTAAAATACAATTCTTTGAATATCTTGATAACGACTCCTTTAGTTTTAGTAAGAGTTTTACGGCACTTGCAACACAATAAGGTCATATAAGTGACGAAGATTTAGAGGCGTTACAAGAGAGTAACAAACACAAAATAGAAGGAGGAGGAGAGATCAGGACGATAGACGTTTGATAGGAAAGAAGAAGCAAACCACACCAGAGCACCCGCCAACCACCCACTAACGACTCCAAATAATCTTACGATTTTGATATAGCACATAGAACATTTGGTTTCTGACCTCATGGTAGCAGTGTCTCAAATTGGCCAAAAATGGTAGAGGGAACTTAGTAATTCTAAGCTAGCGTAATGGACGAGTCTGTGTGAACCTGACACATATTTCATTGTACTTTCAGTAAGCTACCTTTGGACTGGGGCCCAACTACCCATGTACATATCTCTTCAGCGACAAGTGTGGAGGTGTTTAATAAAGGTGTAACTTTCCTAATCTTACAGTTGATGACGTAAAGGGCTTTATCAAAATCAACAAAGGTCATTCTAAAGTTGGAGCACTTGGGACCCCTTGAGGACAACAGGAAGAGAGAAAATATTTCCCGAAGGACAAGGAAAATCATCCATATTCAACTAAGACTTGACCCTTTATCTTCCACATGAAGGGTTTCGCCTGGAAGTGACTTAATAACAACCGCTCTCCATTATCAGTTCTGTTTTACTTTTAGTAGAGGTTTTACGGCGCTCGCAACTGCATTAGGCCAAATGAGCGCCAGACGATTAGAGATGTTGCAAGAGAGTAACAAACATAAAAAAGAAGAAGGGGAGATAAGGACAATAGATGTTTGATAGGAAAGAAGAAGCAGTTCTGTGTATAAGCACTAAACAGTAGATTTTGTATATATGAGAATGTGTGAGTCGATAGTTGTGTGTGAGCGTAAGTGTGTATGCGTAAGTATATGTGTGTGTGTGTATATGAGTGTCTGTGTGTGTATGTATGTGTGTGTGTGGGGGGGGGGGGGGTGGTGGTGGAAGGTGGGGGTTTGTAAAATGGTCTCACAAAGTACAACTTCGGTCTTTTGATTTTTCAGCTGTATTGAATGATAATTTTGGCTTACACAGTGCTTAAAGCCTTTAGGGGGTTTGGCACCACATAAATTTACTTTATTATCAATATTATTAGAAACAACTAATGAAAACATTTTGGAAGATTGTACGAAACTTCACAATTAGTGCGGGGGGCTCTTGTGGCCTAGAGGTTAAGGTGTTGGCCTCTCATTCAAAGTTCCCGGATTCGAATCCGGGTAGCGACCGAAACATTTTCTTCTCTAAAATTGTCTCCTTTCACCTCCTTTCCTGCTCTCTAGCAATGTTCTGTTGTCTGTTTTCGTTTCCACTTTCTGCCCCCACCCCCTCACCTCCTTTGCCCCCTCCTCTGGGCTCCTGACTCTTTCTGCAGCCTTTCTACTGCTACTCTTTGGCTCCTCCTAACCGCTGTCTTTCTACCACACCCCTGATCTTCTGGTAGGAAAGATCTACACCTAGCCCTCTCGGACAAGGGCGAAAAATCTCGGAGGGCCCATGTGCAAGTTGCGCACGTTAAAGATCCCTTGGTGGTCTAAAATCGATAAGAGTAGGCTTCGGCCGCCACCCGGGCAAAATTAAAAATTTCCTACCAACTGAAAATATTAGGTGTGTCCCGCGGGCTCAAATGACCTTATGCAGTGGCGAGTGCCGTAAAAACACTTACTAAAACAAAACAAACAAACAATTAGTGCACGAGTCATTGTTTAGATCACACATTTTTAAAATGAGAACACATCATCACAGCCACAGCAAACTCTATAGCTAGACAGAGACCACTTCACCTGTGCTCTGGACACACATATCTATATACTAGAACACTTGTCAAAGAGAGCTAGTCTTCACTGACTCACTACTATACATATCAGAATTAGAGTTACAGATTTTGTTTGCTGTCCTGACCATCAATGATTTATTTATAGAGGCACTAGCCATCCATGTCCAGGTGCTGTCTTAGCTTTGTTTGCTGTCTGCAATCAGGAACCGCATTCTTTTCTACCAAGTTTGTTCCACTTTGCACCTGATGGAAAATCTTAATTTCACACACGTAAATTTTTTTTTTTTTAAGTTTAAAGCAACCTTCCCTTGAAAGTGTAAAATATAACAAAGTATAGTTAGTGGGAGTAGAGCCTAGTTATAGAGATTTTACGGCACTCGCAACTGCATAAGGTCATATGAGCACCAGAAGAATAGAGGTGTTACAAGAGAGTAACAAATATAAAAAAGAAGAAGGGGAGACAAGGACGATAGATGTTTGATAGGAAAGAAGGAGCAAACCACACCAGAGCACCCACCAACCATGAGTAGAAATATTGGTAAAAAAAACTATAATACAGTTGGATTTGTTCAAGACAGCCACCCATTGTCCGGAAGAAAAGAGGTTGTCTTAGACATTAACATTTTTTTTTTTATAGTAAAGTGTTTTACAGCGCTCACAATTGCATAAGGTCATATGAGCGCCAAGGGATGGGTGTCAACAGAAAAGTCTTTACAGGGAATCAGACTTACTCTGCTCACCTCTCTAGCTTCAACAGCACAAAGTCTGCTTCGACTATCAAGGCACCCCGGAAATAGCAGGTCACAAAAGTGTGACAAACATACAAAAAAAGTATAGGAAAATGACAATAGTAAGGATTAGGAAAGAAAAAGCAGCAGTTCCCTGTTGAAGATCAGGCACAGTTATGAGCGTGACATGATGAATCAGCCCATGGGAGAAGTGGAAAGTGGTCATTTTCTTTAGCTGATTGTCTTGGACAGGTGGCCATTAGAGCAATTTCAACTTTGATTTGATTTACAAGTAGTAACAACACCAGCGCTAAAAACCCCCCAACAAAAATGGCACCAGGGTACAGCATATTGAGAATTTGGATTAAATGAAAAACTTGAACATAAGAAACTAAAACCGGTTGGGGACTGAGTCACAAGGGATGACTAGGAGGATGTCCTACACAACTCAACAGCCACAGAGGGGAGTCACAATTCAAGAGTTTTACTCCAAGTACACACTTTAAATTAGTTTTAGTAAGAGCTTTACAGTACTTGCAACACAATAAGAGAGTAACAAACACGCACAAAAAAAGGAGAGAAGATAAAGACAATACATGTTTGATAGGAAAGAAGGAGCAAACCAGACCAGAGCACCCGTCAACCACCCGTGTACTCACTTTGTGCCTTGCATTGTTATCTTTCATCGAAGAACACCCTCTGGCAATCACGGAGGCAATCTCCTGATCAGAAGTCTGCGAATAAGATTTTTTTTAAAAAGGAAACATGTTACACCATGAAATGCAATTTAAACCAAAATTCATTCAGTCTTGAGTTTTCAGTGAAAAGAACAATAACTTAAAAGACAAAAAGTCAGAGAAAGCTGTCCTCCTTCTTACATGAGAACAGTAAATGTGAATACAAAAAGAGGAGATTCTGTATGCTCCAGTGAATCAATCAAGTCTGTCACCATCATCACCTTCAGCAACATCATAAGACTTAAGACATTGCAACCCAAAAACACCCAAAACTTGAAAGACCTCATTTTTGGTGTATCACCTTATTGGACAGTATAGAAAATGCAACACATAATACCAGGGATGCCACCCAACTTTTTTTTAAATAGCTGAAAATCCACACGCCACAGTCTCGCTAACATATGAATATCAATTTTAAACCCAAAGGTTGTACATAGAGAGAAAAGACAAACAAACAAAAACAATGGGTGTACATTTTTTTCCCCAACTATAGATTCTATCTCGATCTCAATAACGGAATAGCAGATCAGGATCAAAATACCGGAAATACAGGAAAAAGAGTGGAAAAGTGGCATCCCTGTAATACAGATATCGAATGACATGAAGGCAGAAGGGGCAAAGATAGATGTTACAACCAAAAACTAAACAGGGCAAAGATCAATGTACTAAGACAACCAAAACACAGAATGGGCAAGGATGAACATACATACTTATACCCAAGGGCTACAAAGGAGAAAGACCAATGCATAGTTAAAACCTGTATAATTATAATCAAAAGCTAGAAGAGGCAAATGTTAAGTTACAGCCAAAAGACAAAATGGGCAAAGATCAAGGAATAGATTCGATCTGTCTAGTTATGAAGAGGCAAAGATGAATGGAAAGTAACGATCTGTCTAGTTATGAAGAGGCAAAGATGAATGGAAAGTAACGATCTGTCTAATTATGAAGAGGCAAAGATGAATGTAAAGTAACGATGTGTCTAGTTATGAAGGAAGAGACAAAGATGAATGTAAAGTAACGATCTGTCTTGTTAGTATAGATACAACCAAAAGCACTTACCGGATGAACATCTGAGGTGTAGATGAGTTTCCTCGTTGTCTTCACAAGTTGTTGGGTCATAGAGCATGATAAATCCTGAGAAAAACATACCAAAACAATTGAGCCCATTTCCTTGGGTGGCAGATAGATATTATTTTTTTTTACAAAATCAATTTAATGAACACTTTACGGTTATTGTTAATGCAAAACTTCCCTGAAACATCATTTCAAACAAATGCCAAAAATGCACCTCCACCATATCCATTCGGCAAAACATAATATAAGGCAAACGTTCTTTCTTCTGCTTCAACCAGTGAATCATTAAGATAGTGTTAAATCACTTTATTTTCCATCTCAGACTGCACAATCAACAAGCAAAAAATGAGACAAATGCTCAGAAAAATGTCAATGCACTATACATACCCAACATTTAAACTCTCTGTTTTTAAAAAACAAAAGACCATGTAAGTATGTTAGTGTTTCAGCTCCTCAAGCAAGGGCTGCTTACACTGTATGCTCCCCAGTAAGCCAAGAATGTCCATAAGTGTTCCAGGGTCTGTTGGGATCTTACTACTAATATAGGGATAGCTTCCTGTGGGGCGGGGATAGCTCTACCCAAAGGCTATTTGTGAGGCAGCGTGGTGGAATCAGGCTCTCGTCAAAATAATGAAATTGAAGAAAACAGCAGTTTTCTCATTGCTTAGCAATTTTTATCAAATTTCTGTTTTTTGGCTAAACACCTTTTATGTCCATTTACAAACACATTCCTTTGAGGATTTCACCGAAAACGTTGATTAAAGGCACAAAAATATAAATTTAGTTTCCATGGACTCTCCAGCTTTGGAATTTACCAAGCTTTGGCCGCCATTTTCTCGCTAATTTTACCTCCTAAACCAGGTGACCCTCACCTCCTTCAATCCAAAATATCTCCACTTCTATTGAAGATCGGTGGGTAATTTTTTCATTGAAAGCAAGATAAATGAACAAGCTCTAAGATGATACCAATAACTCAATATGCCCAAAAATTACGCTGCCGCACATTTATTATTACAATGTATAACTTCACTACCCTACAAACTTCTATCTGCTCTGTACCTACTTTCAAGAAATCTGACATTAAAAAAACTGTGAGTTTTCACCACATGTCAAGCATTCTCAATTAAATTCTTTGAATACCTCCATAACAACTCTGAATAATCTTACCATTTTGATATAGAAGATACAACACTGTGACTCTGACCTCTCGGTTTAAGTAAATCAAAAACGGCCAAAATCGTCAGATAGAACTTAACAATTCTAAAGTAGCGACTTGCTTACCTGGATCAGTTTATGCGGCCAGTGGTTCTGCGAGCACCACTCGGTGCGGCCACACAGACCGGCAGACTTGGCGGAGCTGCACCAGTACTGGGCGCCCCATGAGCACAGCTCTTTGTGCAGGCCCGACTTGTAGATGGTGGCCCCGTGACCTGGTCAAACAAAACGTTACGTATGTATATGCATGTAGATAGATAGGTAGATAGATAGATTGATTGATTGATGGACAGACGGACTGACAGACAGACAGACAGACAGATAGACAGATAGATAGATAGACAGATTGATGGACAGACAGACAGATAGAAAGATAAACAGACAGACAGACAGACAGACAGACAGACAGACAGACAGACAGACAGACAGACAGATAGATAGATAGATAGACAGACAGACAGACAGACAGATAGGCATGAGTGTGTGTGTGTGTGTGTGTGTGTGCGAGTGTGTGTGTGTGTGTGTGTGTGTGTGTGTGTGTGTGTGTGTGCGTGCGTGCGCGCACGTTTTTTTTGGGGGGGTTGTTTTGTTGGGGTGTTGTTGTTGTGGGGGGGGGGTTTGGGGGGGGGGAGAAATTAGAACCTTCCTCAATACCATAACGGTCATTTAGTAATGGGAAAAGAAGACAAAATAGTTGCACTTTCGTTGTTGCTCGCAGAAGACTGAATTTGAATAACAAGTGGGAGACTTTATTTTACTCAACACCTCTTTCTGCTATAACCAGGCAGGGAACAATCAGTCAAACTGATTATTTTTTTTTTGGTAAGTGTTTTACGGCGCTCGCAACTGCATAAGGTCATATGAGCACGCGGGACACACCTAATACTTTTAGTTGGTAGGAAATTTTGAATTTTGCCCGGGTGGAGGCCGAAGCCTACTCTTATCGATTTTAGACAACCAAGGGATCTTTAACGTGCGCAACTTGCACACGGGCCCTCCGAGATTTTTCGCCTTCGTCCAAGAAGGCTAGGTGTAGATCTTTCCTACCAGAAGATCAGGGGTGTGGCAGAAAGACAGCTGTAAGAAGGAGTCAAGGAGTAGCAGTACAAAGGCTGCAGAAAGAGTCAGGAGCTCAGAGGATCAAACTGATTAAATTGTATTGATAGGAGAATAAACAAATACAATCGTTTTGTTTTATTATTTTAGCAAGCAATTAAGGCATTTGCAAAACAATTAGGCCATACAAGTGGCGAAGATTTGAGGTAGTGCAAGAGAGTGGCAAACACATAAAAGGGGGAGACATAAAAACTACAGATGTTTGATAGGAAAGAAGGAGCAGACCACACTAGAGCACCCGCCAATCACCCACAAACAATTATAATCAACCATTTGCAAAGCGTTTGCCCAAAGCATTCGTCATAACAGTTATTCTGTTGTCACACATTGCTAGCATCACCTCAGACTCAGACAAAATGCCCCCCCCCCCCAATCAGAAATGTGCTACTGACTGAAGTTGTCTTAGGTCATTTCCCAAAGGGTGGGGGGGATATTAACATGTTCTTATGCACAGTAGAATTGTAAATGGGCTGATTTATCAATGTCATGCTCATACTATGCCAGAACAACATAGAGGAACTGCTGCTTTTTCTTTCCTCATCCTTACTATCGTCATTTTTTCCTCAATTTCTTTTATATTATGTTTGTCACTCTCTTGTGAACTGGTATTTCCGGGGTGCCTTGATAGTCGAAGCAGACTTTGTGCCGTTGAGGCTTAGCGGCTAGAAAGGTGGGCAGAGTAAACCTGATTCCCAGTTTGGACTTAAGCTGTCGACATCCACCCCTTGGCGCTCATATGACCCAGTTGCGAGCGTTGTAAAACCTTACTAAATCAAAACAAATTACAAAATGGACACTCAAGCAGCTACAGTGACCAGCTTCGGGTGGTCTCCATGCTCTCACTAATCAGTCCCAAAGATAAAGCACGGCTAAATGTCAGTGGGCCAAATTTGGACAGGACAAAAAGTCGTCAAAACTTAGCCACTCGAAATCAGAACAAAGGCAAGTGTTTTGCGCATATGAATAATAAGAATAGATAAAACATGTTATCTGTCCAGGGCATGCTCCTCTCCCCCCAAAAAAGCTTCATACTTAAGAAAGAAATTATATCTTAAAACACAGCCATGCTAATTAAACACACAGACACACAAAAACACAAAGGGGGAGAAGGAGAAAGAGAGAAAGAGAGAGAG